ATAAACTTTCTAAAGCAACCTTAACTTTTATAAAATTTGCTTTTGCCTATTATTCATAAACCTGATAACAGTGTGCACTCTTCTATCTGATTTTGTAATAATAAACAGTATTGATTACTAAGCCAGAGTCAATAAACGAACAAAATATTAAGAGATAGTAAGAACATGCAAATTGATTGTATTGTTTATGCACACACATATATTATTATATTATTTACACATTGTAACGATTTTGCCCCATAAAAGTAGAATGGGTTCAGTCTTTATTCTACATAATTACCATGTGATAACCAAGAAAGCTAATAGGTTCAAACTATATAGATTTAGCCTTATTCTCTATGGAAGAATTTCTTGATATCTGGAACTTTAGGTAACACAGTTGGATCTCCAGTAAAAAGCTTAAAAGGCATTCAAGATAAAGGAAACACTCTGAGTCTACGTGTGTTCATGTGGCTTCTTGCCTTCCCATATATAACTGAAGACTATATTTAGTTTAATAAAATCTTTCTCAGGCATCTTTAATTATAAAGAAATCAGATGGTTTTACACAGCTAATTTACATACTGTCTTTAGGGGGCAGTACTAAACCACTGATACATGTTTTCATTTCTCTTTCTGTTACTCTTAATGGTTAATATAAAATAAAACTAAAATAACAATTATGATTTTTGTGATACAATTATATACAGCCCTTCATATTAGGAAAATTTTCTAGATAGTCATAAATGATAGTTTGAAGTTAATTCATTCAATAACTATTACGTTTCATTATGCACAGTACATTGTGAAAGATGCAGAGGTGAATAAGGCAATGTTTGCTTTCAAATAGCTTACAGTTAACTTGGGTAAATAAGCCCTGTATGTGTATGTTTACAACTCTTTCATGATAAAGATATTAATAAAAACAGAAGTATTTATTGATTACTTTTATGTCAGTCACTATTGAGCAATTAAGTTAATCCTCATAAGCCCTACCAAGTAGGAATTATTATTAATCTACCTTGAAGATAAGGAAATTGAGGATTAGTAAGATTTGTTCAAAGTAACACGGCCTGTAAGTGGCAGAGCCAGGATTTCAAAGCCAGTGTTCTTTGCCACTCTTCCATCTATTATCTCAGGGTGTATGAAATACACAAAGAGCTATAGATGTTCAGAAGAGAGTGACATCATTTCTGTTTATGGGAGATCTAGAAAATTTTATGTAAAATTTTATCTGAACTGTGTTTTGAAGAATCAGTGGGATTATAATAAAATAATAGCTAAAAATGGTAGTATTTATTGAAACCTTATTATGTGTCAGGGACTTTATATTCATCATCTCATTTAATTAACAGGAAAAAAAAAAAACTATGATTTTCCAGTTGCATAGATAAGGCAAGTGAGGCTGACAGTAAAGATATCTGCTGAGAATAAGCAGGAGAGTTTAGACTTGAATCCAGGACTGTCTAATCTAATCTAAATTCTTAACTATTAAAATATGCTCTTCACAGAGGTGACGTGGAAAGCATGAATAAAAGCATGGAACATGATGATTGTTGTTGTTTGTGTGCCATTGAGTTGATTCTGACTCCCACGATTAAGAAAGGGTAAATAATTCTGCTTGATTAATATAGTCTAGCCTGAGTATAATGAAATAATAAAAAGGGCTGAAAAATAGTTTGACCATAGAATGTTGAAGGCAAATTAAGGAATCTGGATATTATGTGCTGCACACCATGTGAAATCACTGAAGGTTTATGAGCGGTGTTTTAGTTATCTAGTACTGCTATAAGAGAAATACCACAAGTAGATGGCTTTAACAAAGAGTTTATTTCCTCACAGTAAAGTAGTCTAAAAGTCCAAATTCAGGGCATTAGCTCCAGGGGAAGGCTTTCTCTCTCTGTCCGCCTTCTCATCAATCTTCCCCCGGACTAGGAGCTTCTCCGCACAGGGACTCCAGGTCCAAAGGACGTGCTGTGCTCCTGACACTGCTTTCTTGGTGGTATGAGGTCCCCCTCTCTGCTCACTTCCCTTTTCTTTTTATCTCTTGAGAGATAAAAGGTGGTGCAGCCCACACCCCAGGGAAACTCCCTTTACAGTGGATCAGGGATGTGACCTGGGTAAGGGTGGTGTTAGAATCCCACCCTAATCCTCTTTAACATAAATCACAAAATGGAGGACAACCACACAATACTGGAAATCATGGCCCAGCCTAATTGATACACACATTTTTTTTTGGGGGGGGGGCAGTGAGGGAGACATAGTTTAATCCATGACAAGGGGGAAGAGACATAAACAGAATTTTTCTTTGAGGAGGAGAGACAGAGAATAAGGAAGTTCCCTGTACAAATGGATTGGATAATTGCAATAGAAATGAACCATATTTGTAGAAAATAACTGAATAATTTATGAAATGTGGATGATTCTTAGTCAAGTGTGTAATAGTTAAAGGTGCCATGTCATGGTGACGTCGACATTCCAACAATTAATTGATCATGAATTTGTAAAGGAGATGTCTTTTGATTGTTGTAGACAGCACTGATCAAACATATAGATATTCTATATGTTTAATCATATAGATTAAGGTTTTAGACTTCCTAGGATTCTTTTTATTTTTCACTCAGAGGATCTATAGGCTTTCAGAAATCTGTGTGCTAATCACCTTTTGTGACTGATTTGAGAAATATGTATTTATGAAAATACTGGCTGCTGCATACCAAATTAGAGAAAATTTCGCTGGCTGTCACAGATAGCAAAGTGCTGTCAGGAATGTCATCATCTAGCAGAAACACATTCAACAAATAAGCTTTTTTGATTTAAACTGCAATTGCATGAGCTTGGTTATTCAATATACTGTCTTTCATACACTATTGTGCCAAATAAAGGCCATGTAATATAGTAGTTAAGGAGATAGATTCTGGAGTCAGGCGGTCTGGGTTAGCATTCTGCTTCTGCCACTAACTAGCTTGGGTTTTACTTGACCTCAGTGTGCTTTAGTTTCCTCATCTGTAAAATGAGAAAATAATAGTGTTTGTCTCAAAGAGTTGTTATGTGAATTAAAAGAATTAATGAACAATAATCCTGTTACACTTGTGTCACAGAGTAAATGCTCAATAAATAGTAGTTAGTATTATTACTGTGTCTTATGTACAATAACCGTTTGAGGGAATATTTGATATAATCATTTTTTTAGGTTCTGAGAATTGATAAAGGAAAAGTTAAGATATAAATGAAGAAAAACAAATTTTTTGAAATAAGAATAAGAAGAAAGTCTCTTGTTCTATTTTAAAAAAACAACTTTTTTGGAGGTAGTTGCTACTTCCAATCAATTATGTATTATGTCTTTACTAAATTCAGTAACCATGATCTGTCAGTATTGTACTGAAGAATAAACTGAATATCTTTAGGCAAACTTTTCTTCTCTTTCTTTTTACTTATATATATGGACTTTGTTTTTTTTTTTTTTTCATTAAGGCTTTATGGGTATGGTACTTTTCTTCAGTTCTGGCAAAATTTCTTGTACCATTTCTTTGATGATTTCCTCCCATCTTTTACTCTCTTTTTAATTTCTGGAACTTCTGTTGTTCAGATGTTGGACCTCTTGGTTTGAAATCCCTTAGTTTTCTTTTCTTTTCATCTTTTTGTTTTATCTTCTGGGATATTTCTTTAGATTTATTTTCCAACCCTTCTATTGGATTTCTGTGTATGTGTTTATTTTGTAGCATTCTGTTCTTGTTTCATGTATGCAATATCTTCTGTCTCTTTGAGGTTACTGTTGATAATTTTTTCTATATATTTATTTTGGTCTTTGTTAGAAGCTTTCTTCAAGTATGTAGCAATCCTGGGTACTTGTTTGTATTTAACTAAAAAATAAGAAAGTATGTTGCTGGAGCTGGTTGAAAGGTGTTGAAAAATGGACTTCACACAGTAAGGGTTAAGGCATATATCCCACCATTTTATTGGGTACTTATGGATCTTTTTCCTTGGGAGTTCAATTTCTGCAGAGAGGAATATTCTAGTCTCCTACCTGGGGCATATAAACCTGGCTGCCATGTTCTCTAAGGCAAATATGGGAAGGTACTGGGTTGCTCACTCTTCATGGAATCTTAGGTTCCTAATCCCTTTTCTTCAACCTCTCCAGAAAATAAACCTTTAATTTCTTGCTAGGTGGTGATAGTTTAGTTTCCTGACTGGATGGTGAAGGAAATGGTCTAGGGGCCTAGCTCCTTCTTATATAGAGTTTTCATCCTTTTTCAATCCCACCTTCACCTACACCCTTATAGGTAGCCAGTCTCTGTAATTCCTAAGCCCTCCTGGGAATGCTGAGTTATGAAAAGCCCTGCTTCTTGGTCCCCCCCTCCCCCGCCCCTTGCAGAGGTTTTGCTTTTGGTTTTTTCAAGTTCGCTAAATCAAGAAGTACCCATCTATCTTGCCTATTCCCTTTGTCCTTATGTCTTAAACCTTTTTTTTTTTTTTTTTAAATAAATGCTTTAGTATCATTAGTGAGATTTTGGAGGTAAAAAAAGTAGATCTATGTGTTCAACATGGAAGACCCATTATGAACTTTTAAATATTACCTGTTGTATGGTCAATGTGAAATTTTATGTTCACTTTTTGTGACATTGTGAAAAAAATGGTCTCTTTAGCAATACCTATTTCATTAAAAATATTTTTTGTAATTCCTTTAGCTGAATATTTTTTAAAAAATATTATGCCTAAACATAAATTCTTGATGAATCGGAAGATTTTTCTTATTTACTGCTATCCAAATATTTTCTTGGGTTATTACCATATTCTATTCTTCTTTATGAACTTTATATCTTATATTCTTTCCCTTTCAATTTATATTGACTTATGTATATTTCTGGCTCAGTCACATGGTACAGATATATAACTATAGCTAGAAGTAAGCTAACTTTTTTCTGCTAATATATCACAAGCAATTTATGTAATTTAATTGCTGCTAAGATATCTAAATAGCATCGATATAATATATTGGTATAATATAAATTTAATTTCAGAGAACTTCATCTACAATAAATTTGTCACCAGGAGAAGTGGAAGAAGATGATGATGATGAAAACACTTGTGGGCCTTCAGGACTTTGGGAAGCATTAACTCCTTGTAATGGATGTAGGAACCTTGGTTTCCCCATGCTTACACAGGTAAAGGTTTGCTTTTATTAAGATATAATAAAACATAAAAATGGTTGCCCATGTTCTTAAGTAAATCTTTTTATTCCCTAAGAATCCAATTAGTACCTTGTTCACTATGTAATTTTTTTTCCAGTTATAGGGTCAGTTAATTTGCAGTGTATGGGTATGTATATGCAAACACATAATTAACATAACCTTTACGTGGCTGTCTTATTTTGATTATGATGTTAGTTTCAGAAGAACTGTCTTAATTATGAGGTTTTAATATTTACGATCTGGAAATATATCATTTTAAAGAATGACACTTTAAAATTAAATGACAATTTATATTAAACTAATTATAAAAAGTGATCTAAAGGTCAAGTTTCAAGAAAACCTATTACTCTTTAAAAAGCATATCCATTGGTTTTTTTTCTTAGCACAATAGAGACATTGTAGAATACTGTACACCACTGAGGATTTTGGAGTACAATCCAATAATGATGCCCAAACCAAAAACCAAACCCTTTCCCGTCAGTTGCTTCTGACTCATAGAGACCCTATAGGACAGAGTAGAACTGCCCCATAGGGTTTCCAAGTTGTAGCTGGTTAATTCGAACTGCTGACCTTTAGGTTATCAACCAAGCTCTTAACCACTCTACCACCAGGGCTCCATAATAATACCAGAACACTAAAACTTTGACTGCAAATTTAAAATCATTATGCTATTTATTAAATCAATTTTAATTCTATAGGATCATCTTCCGATTGCTGTTGTGTGTTATGGACCCAAAACCCTTAGAAATAACCCTACACAAAGATGAAAAGGAATTTAACATGAAAGACAGTATAATAATAGTCAACTGCATAGAGCATGGGTGGAAAAAATAGTCTGTGACAGGAGATGAAGACTCATGGTAATGAGTCAAGAATGTTGCAAAGTCTCTTCACCTTCATATGAACTATTTATAGGACCTTAAGACAACTTCCTAACCTTTACAGAATTATTGCTATGTACAGAACTATGAGTTCCAAAAATGGGAGACCATGTCTGTTCATCTCAACATCTATGGTATTAGCCTTGTTTCTGGCATATAGTCAGAATTATATAAGAGTCAAATGAATCAATAAACAAATGTGTATATTCTGGAATTTTATTTCTTCACTTAAAGTTCTTACATAGAGATTTTTACCTCATATCTCCATAAATAAATATGTATAATAGATCTTATTTTATTGATATACCCTCATCTACTTAATAGTTTACCAATAATTAAATGCTTTTATTATTTTACTCATAAAATTAACATCTTTGTAAAAATGGATTTTTTAAAAATCAGTATCTTGTTTCATATCCACAAAAGTAGAATTCTTGGAACAAAATATATATTTAAATTAAATATAAATTTTTAGATCACTCTGCTCTTCAAAATGCCATCAATAATATGACTATATCTGGTTCTCCACCACCTTAGTAAAATTTACTTCTGCCATTTTAACTTATGTTGTTATTTTATTGGCTTGGTAGTAACTGACTTTTGTTTAACGTTTTTTTTTTAAGTATAAAAACTAAAGATTAGATATTTTTTATTTGGCCATTTTTTTATAAAGACTGGTATTGCTTCAATAAATTTATTACTTAGATAATGTGGATATTAATATTTTAGTAGTTACATTTACCACAAAATGTTTCCCACTCTGAAGCTTTTCTTTTTGTCTTAATTTGTATGTGTGCGTGTTTCCGAGTGTGTTGTGTAGTTTTAAAGCTATGAAATTTAAACTTGCCAGTTGGGAAATTGTTTTTATATTTTTTGTTTAAGTCATCTCATCTGGAATTCCTTTTAACAAAAATTTTGGATGTGGCTATATATATGTTTTTTGCTTGTTGATACCTAGTTTTCCTATGACTTTACATTAAACAATAACTCCCGTTCCTCTCATCTTGAATTTACTTCGGAGATCTCTTCGTATTTGTATTTTTCTATTTTTTTAAACCACATAACTCAGTTTTGATATTATTTTACATATATGTAATATATGGCAGAATAAATCCTTAATTACATTAATACTATTAGCTGACATGATTGTCTGCTTTTAACGTTTATATTTTACAATTACTGTGTCAAGTTTAAAAAATATGCTTATTAGGATTTTAATTGTTACTGTATTAAATCTATAAATCTACTTGAAATGCAGTATCCTTTTTTATTGGATTTGATCTAACAAACCAGGAGGGGGACATATCCATTTCTTAGTCTTCTTTTATTAATATCCTCACTATATAGATCGCACGTGTGTGTGTGTGTGTGTGTGTGTGTGAGAGAGAGAGTTATTATTGTAGATGGGCTCTCCTTTAGCATCTATATGTACATATGTATTATTTCATATGCAAACTTTTAAAATCTATTAATAAAAATTATGTTTAATGTGTAGTGGTTGATTCTGTTTATGATGCTGAAGACATCATATCAAATGTAGATTTATCTGACAACTTGCAACATCTTTGAACTTACCTGTTTTTTAGTTTATTATCTAGGATTTTCTGGGTATATGATTCATTTACAAATAGTAATTCTAATCTCTTTTTTCTATTTTTTATATTCCCTTATTATTATATTATATGTCTGATTAGAATAGGTGAGGTAATATGTGTTTGCATTTTTTTTCTGATTTTAAGAATACTTGTGACCTGATAAACAAGATCCGGCAGTAATCAACATCAGATTTTGTAATCATAAATGGGACAGATTGAAACTATATTTACCAAAGGATAATGGAATTGAAAACGGGATTGAGTCAGAGAAGCAGTATTGAAATCATATGTTGACGAGTTAGAAAAGAAATACAAAGTATGCAATGCTTTAAATAACCACGCCGCTCTGTGATCACCAAGGGAGTAATAATCAAAGTGGTAAACACACTGATAGTCCTTAAATACAAAAATAAAGAAAATAGGTCTCTACTCCCAAAGAGTTTACATTATGGGCATTTTAGGACCTTTATAGGCCTTAGGCCTCCAGCCTCATATCAAATATATTAAAATGAAACATTTAAGTTTTCTGTTACGATAATAGTTTTGTATTTGAAATTCACCTAAAAATAATTCATTTATTTTATGTACACAGTGTAAAAAATATGAATAGTAACTATAATGTGTAAATGTTTTACAGAAATTTAATTGAGCATTTATTGATTTTAATTTTTCAGTGTCCTGTTTATATTTTGAAACATTGTTGTACATGTCACCATCGAGTTGATTCCTACTCCTAACAACCCTATAGGACAGAGTAGAATTGCCCCATGGCTTTCCAAGGAGTGGCTGATGGATTCTAACTGCCGACCTTTTGCTTAGGAGCGGAGCTCTTAACCACTGTGCCACCAGGGCATTAAGCCATAAACACTATGCGTGTAGGACCTAATGAAAAACCAGTCTGCCTTACCATTTGTTACAGGAGCCTTTGGGATCAGTGCAATTAGTGTAGTGCTATCCAAATTTTATATACCCGAATTTGTTGGATCAAATCTATAACCTGTAATTTAATTGGATCCAATAAACATTTAGTTTATATATTCTATATTCAAAGCATAGTGATAAGCTTCAAAAAACATGAAGATTACAGAAAGAACACAGACTTAATCACGGGCCAAGTCACCTATAAGTTCTGGTTCCGGGCTATTAATCTATGTGATGTGTTGTTTTTATACTCATACTGAGAGTTCTTACCTGCAAAATGAGAGCATTGGCTTATCCTGTGAATATTACACTTTTAAAATTCTACTGTTCTGTGTTCAAAATCTGCATAAAAAAAAAACAAACCCATTGCCATTGAGTCAGTTCCAACTCATAGCAACCCTATAGGTCAGAATAGAACTGCCCCATAGGGTTTCCAAGGAGCGACTGGTGGATTCGAACTGCCAACCTTTCGGTTAGCAGCCAAACACTGAGACCTTATTTCCAGTTTTTTGTCTAGATTTTGAATTGATCCTATGTTCAGGTTTAATCTAGATGCTTTTTTCTGCCCACAAGAGTTCTAAAATTGGACTGAAAAGGATAAAATAATGGGCACCTTGGAGTTCATGCTTATGAATATATTGTATGGCATTTTATTCTTCCATTGTGACTAGATTATTGAAGTTTCAACAAGAAGCAATTCTTTTCATGTTGGAAAAGACTAAGCACATTTATTGTAAATAGAGCTTTTATAGGAGAATATTTTGGGTATCTTTATTTGGCTATCCTAAATATATCCAAATATAAATGCAATATTTTAAAAATATCCAATGTTATTTAAAAGTATAATCTCAAAGCAGTTAAATAAGATTTAAGCTGGTAAAGAACTAGAAGGAAAATCAAGAATTAAGAGACTATAGAAATGGAGCCCTTTCTAGAAAGTATGATGAAACTCAACTTTATTTCTCAACACTATGACAATAATAATGATCACCATCATTTACGCAGTGCCAATTATGTGTTAGACATTTCACATGTATAATCTCTCAAGGTAACCATTTAAAAGAGGAAATAGTTAACCTTAAGGTCACATAGCTAAAGAGTGGCAATGCTATATGCTATAACTCAAATGTGGATTAAAAAAAAAAAAACTATAATATGGTGCTTTCCTGATTTCATTTACATTTTGCCTGCTTCCTATTGATTCCTTCCTGGTTATATACTGGGAAGTTTTTGAAGGATTTCCTTTGGCTCGAAATTTAGGATCATAAATGGATAAGGACCTTTGGTAAATACTCTTCAGCGTTTTATCATCCATTCATGCATTTAATCACTTGCAAATATCAAGGGAAAGCTATTAAAGGTAGTTCAGAGGCTGATCATAAATTGCCATTAGTTTTATTGCTACCCTTCCTGTTAATAGAGCATATGATATAACAGCAGAGAATATGAGTTGATGAATATGTGTTATGGTGGAAGGTGTTGCTCTCCGCCATGGTCTTAGCTGAGGTGTCCCCCTCTGTATCACGTGCATGCAGTGCGATGGGATTTGAGGTTCTTTAGTAAGGAGCCAATCCTGCTGGGTCTATTCCCTAGGACTACTGTCTCCACCACAGGGAGGACTTTGAGGCTCTGCAACAATTAGCCAATCCTATTGGGGCTTTTATTTGAAAACCCTGAACTAGTAGGTTGGCTCCTCCCAAGTTTTTGAGTTAAGGAACTCCTTTGTGATGGTGCTGAGGCTGGCATTTTTGTGTGTGGGGAGAAAGCTGTTTTCTGCCCTGATGGCTTCTATCCCTTCTCCTTTTTTCACTCCTAGTGGTTCCATGGTGGACTAAGCACCAGAATGGTGTTAACTTGTTCTTCCTTGTCCTATGGTGATGGGAATGCCTTCTTTTAGTTCTGTGTTACCTTATTTTCCCTTTGGCTTCTACCTTGAGGTGGGAGACCCTCTGGCTTCCATCCTCTTCACTCATGTAGCCTTCACTCTGCAAGGTTGAGATGAGGGGTCTTGCTGCTGAACCTTTATCTGTTTTTGAAACAGGCTTGCGGGTAGTCTCTGCCCCTGCAGTCACTATACTCATGCTGTTCTCTGGGGAGAGACTGGCAGCTCTTGGTAATGTCCTAGAAGTACCCTCTGAAGCAAGGACATGCTTGCAGTACTGGAAACAACAATGTTAAGGCCCTCTGAGGACATGTTGGAAGCACCTGCTGTGGCCATGCTGCTCCACTTGCTTCTGATCTATGAAGGCTGCCCCTACCAGTGCTGTTTTTTTTTCCCTCTGAGTCTGCATACTCAGTGGTTGCCACGTCTACAGTTCCTGCTGTGGGGCCTGTTGTCACCACTCCTGCTGCCGCCCCTGCCCCTTTGTCAGGCACTATCAGTTGTGTGACTGGAGGAGTATGTGCTTTCTTTAATGCAGTATATGTGAGAGGCATGTTGGATTTCTTCCTCAGCATAATCAAAGGAGGTGGCCCCAAACACCTCAGGATCCATGTGAAGGCTCCTGATGCTGATCTGTTCTTGGTCCCCTTTTCCATAGATCTCCATGGTGTGTACCTCGGGGGAAAAGAAACAAGTGAAGTAGAGAAGAAAGTGAGACCAGAAAGGTCTGCTCCTTTCTTCCTGTAACGGAACAACTCAAGAGCTTAAGAACCTTTGAGGTCATCAAGTCCCACTTAAAGCAGGAGGCCCTGCCACAGTACCCCCATGATGGTCATTCCAGTTTTACATGACTACTTCCAGTGCCAGGGGAAGCACTAGTAAAATTGACCAGTTAACATCCTCGTATACTTTTATTTTATATTCTTACGTTAGTATTTCTGCAGAATAGATTCCTAGAAATGAGACTGCTGGTCAAGGGGTATGCACATTTTACATTTTGATAACTGCTGACAAATTGTACACATCCACACAAGCATGCTGCACTGCCATTGATGTATACAAAAATCAGTCCCTGGCAGTCACGGAAGACATTATGACCCAAATAAAGGAAGTACTGTCTATAGTCAAAAATGTCCCACAAATTAACAGCCTGCCTGGGTTGGGGTAGTAAGTGTTCAAGAATAGATTTCATGGTCAGTATGCTATAGATGGCATTGCAGATTAGAGAAGCTAACAGCTCAGGATTCTCTGAAATTAACCCTTGGGAAACACTTTGGAGAAGTACTAGAAACCTTCCCAGTGTGGCAAGGCCTTCAAAAGGAGGCTCATTTGGCCAAGCCCTTCCAAATGCAATGCATTTTCAGGTGAGCCTCAGAGAGCATCAGAGGCTCTGCAGGATCAGCCTTTAGTTGCTCTCCAAAGCTCCCTGGCCCCATCTTTTAGAGTCTCTGCAAAGACTTACTGCTGGGCTCTCATCCTCTTCCTCAAATACAGGTACATCCATTGTGTCTATAACTGGAATGGCCTGGGTACCGCTGTAAGCCTCCACTGGTGGTTTCAGGAGGTAAACGAGATCTTCCCAGTAAACAAAAAGATCTTCTCTTGTATCTGAAGAGGGACACAACTGAAGATAAAAAGAGCGGCCAGTGGCAAGCTTCAGGCGGAGCTGCTGCTTTTCACCATTATGGATGGATATCTTTACAAACTTCAAGGGAAGCAGTCTGGTTAGCTCCAAGGTCTGTGTAGACTTGTGGCCTTTTCCCTGGGTGGCACAGCCGCAAGTGGCGTACTCCTCACGGCTTGCAGTTGGTCTTGCCAACAGCATGACATCAGGCACTTTGAGGCTGGGGCTGGTGCAGACGATGCCCACTGTCACCATTCGGCCACGGTTGTGGACATCCATTACTTCGCCTCTTTTGCTGATCTGGATGAAATCGCTCTCAAACATTGGTGCATATTCGAATATAGTATACTCTCCCTTGCACAGTTGTCGCTGCAGTTTTCCCATGGAGATATTAAACATGCTCATTGCAGGGCAGCTTTCAGCTGTGTAATACGGTAATGTAGATTGACTGCTCATGGCTGTCTTATCAAGGCAGCCTCTGGGGCTCTTCCACACCTCCCTTACCACACCTCGTAGGGCTTGCTGCGTTCCCTTGGTCTCACTGCCGCGTGGTGAGTCGTACCCCTCTGCAGGCCCCTTTTTGTCCCAGAGCGACTGAGGATGGCGTGGGGCGCTGGTTACCAACTGCTCAATGCCAGGGACAGTCGGGCACCTGCACCCAGACCGCGCCTCCTCTAGCATGTGGGGTTGTCTGGGCACGGAGATGCCTGGGCGTGTAGATGTCGGGGTACGCAGAAGTTGTCTGAAGATGTTGGGGCGCAAAGATGTCACTGTGCGGAGATGTCGGGATGCTTAGATGTTGGGGCGCGCAGATGTCAGGACACGCAGATGTGGGAGCTTGCTTGGGAAGGCCGTTGCCTCGAGCCTGACCCACCGGTTCACAGCTGCGTCTGCTTTTTGATTCCACAACCTGAACCGCCAATCGCAATCCCACTGGGCATCTCTTTCCCCGCCTCCACCTTGGCCTAAACCACTCCGCGGGAGCCGCTTTTATCCTCTCCTGCTCATTGTGACAGGTCATCGCACTCCTTTGTCACCCAACAGCCGGCCCCTCAGGGCAGGGGCACTTGTCTCTTCCCCTCCCCCAAATGCAGCATCACCAAGCACCAGACTGGGGGATGACACCCCCTCCCAGCCCCAGGAAATGGGCCTTAGACAGGGCGTCTAAAATGTTTTTAGCCATCTTAATACGTACTGGCAAACTAGTTTCAAAAAGGGCTACGCAAACTTTCTGTTAAGTAGAAGAGTTAAAAATACACATACTTTTTAATCCAGCACTTCAAATTGTAGACATTTACCTTAAAAAAGATAATTCGACAAGTTGGTAAAGAGATTAGTACAGAATATTTACCAATGTTTATTGTAGAAAAAAATTATAAACAAGATTAATGTCGTACAATAGGGGATTGGTTAAAAAAAATTACCAAGCATTATATGATAGAATGATTCTGCAGCCATAAAAGTGATTATGTTGTTTCCTATTTATTGACATGAAAAGATATCCATGGCATTTCTTTGTGCCCAGAAACAGCAAAACAAACATTTCAAACTAGCATTAGAATTGTGATCCAATTTATGTAAAATCATCTGTGTGTGTTTGGATATGGACATATGTTCAGTGAAAGACTTAAAGTGCTTACCTATGAATACTATAATTTTTATTTTCTCCTTTATAACTTTGTTTTTATTAGGATAATTTCTTATTTCTATTAACAGAAAAGATAAAGCTATTTTATTAATGATATCTATTTTTACAGTCATGATTAATTATGTTTTAACACACACTCAAATAATAATGAAATTTTTAAGCTTCTCCCCAGACATCTGTACCTTGACTGTACAATGAAAAGAGCCTTAAACATCACATTTATGCCTTTGTTCTTTACCCATTGTCAGATTACATCAAGTATAGAAGCTTTGAGGGAGCCCTGGTAGTGCAAAAGTTAGGTATTTGGCTGCTAACAAAAAAGTTGATGGTTCAAACCCACCCAGTGACTCCTCGGGAGAAAGTCCTGTTGATCTGCTCCTGTAAAGATTACAGTTTAGAAAACCCGTGAAGGTAGTTTCTGCTCTGTGCCCCTGGGATTGCTATAAGTTGAAATCAACTCAATGGCACCTAACAACATAGAAGCTCTGAGGAATTTTGTCAATAAGTTAATAATATTATAAGTGTTATTACTAAACAAGTTAATAAAATTATAAATGTTATTAACTGAGTAAGATTGTAGTATGTTTATTGGTGTGATAATGTACATGACCAAAATAACCAAAAAAATCCAAACCCATTACCTTCAAGTTGATTCATACTCATAGCAACCATAAAGGACAGAGTAGAACTGCCCCATAGCGGTTCCAAGGCTGTTAACCTTTACTGAGGCAGATTGCCACATCTTCCCTCCCGCAGCGTAGCTGGTGAGCTTGAACTGCCGACCTTTTGGTTAGCAGCTGGGTGTTTTAACCACTGTGCCACACACATACATACAGCTATAGTTTTTGTTCTGAGTCTTTTGTTTGTTCCATAGGTTAATACAAGCATTTCTCTTCATACTGAAATGTCTGGTTATTTCTAATAATATAAATGTCTGGTTATTTTCTTTGATTTACTGAGACGCCTATTAACACATCAACAATTCTTACTGACCTTTCCAGATTCCTTAGATCTTAATTTTCACTTCAAGTCTATGTTACTTATATTGTCATTAGGAAAAACAAAATTAACAAACTTAATATACATTTAGTAATCAAACTAACATTTTAAAAGTATCCAAGTAGGTCTGGTGTTTTTCAAAAGGAATAATTGGATAGGTAGCATTGGATGAAGTATGATTTAATGTAGGTTTTGTTTTTTGTTTTTGCAGATACACCAATTTTCTTAAAAGCACTTTATGCCATTTATAAATATTACAAGGTATTTCTCTTAGGATTCCATTACAGCACCGCTGATAGCCTTGTCTCCAGGGGAACTTGAAACTATATTACTTGTAGGGCCTGTAGACTTTTCAGAATTTTTCTGAAACTAGTGATTAGACCATCAGTGGTAGAGCCTTTTTTATTTGACTTGTTAACCATTGTGGGTAGCATTCTGGTAAATATGTCTTTATCTTCATGAATCCGATGAATTTACTGAGATCCCTCTAGGTATTTAGAAAACGATCTTTATTAGTATTTACCTCAGTACTTGAGAAGCTTAGATGGCTACATAAAAATCTACCTGAATTTGAGGTTAAGAAATTCTTTTTATGTAAATGTGGCAGCTTTCTATACTTTTGTACTTAGAATAGTCAGATTTCCATAAGTTGGTCATTAAATATTCTTAAAATAAGTTTATACTCCCTCTCTTCTACATTAGAGATTGTGTCATTGGATAAATCATTTAAATTCCTGGGCCTTATTTTTCCCATTCATAAAACTGAGATAATCCCATAGGTATCTTTCAGCTCTAGAATACTTATGGTTTTGTGATAGGGGCTTAACCTTTTCTCCCCTGTAGCAAAACTACTACATATTTTGGAAATACTCTGAACAATAATAATGAGTCAAGGTATTATTCAATTGTTAACAGCTCTAGGAATTGTATGATTCAATATATAATCTTATTCTGTTGCTGAATTTCTACTTGCGGAAACTTTCAAAACATTTGAAATGTAGAAGTGACAAAATGTTAATTATAATCATATCTAGGTTGTTTGTTACATTGTCAGTAAGTAGGGCAGTACTTAAAATTATCTAATTGAAAATATGGGTTAAACATTTTAAACATAATTCAGTTAGTAATAAACATGGCTGTGGTAGACAGAATAATCCCCTCCCCCCAAAGATGTCTACATCCTAATCTTCAGAACTTGTGAATTTGCTACCTTACATGGCAAAGGGGCTTCACAGACGTGATTGGGTTAAGGATCTTGAGATAGGGAGTTTATCCTGGATTATCTGGGTGGGTCCAGTGTAATCACAATGGTCCTTATAAGAGGAAGACAGGAGGGTCAGAGTCATAGGAGGAGATATGATGATAGACACAGTGGTCTGAGTGATGGTCTTGAACCAAGGAATATGAGCAGCATCTTGAAACTGAAAAAAGCAAGAAAGGATTATCCCGTAGAGCCTCCTGAAGAAATCAACGCTCCTGAGACCTTGAATTTAGCCCAGTGAGGTTAGACTTCTGACCATCAAAATTGTAAGAATAAGTTTGTGTTGTTTTAAGCCACTAGTTTCTGGTAATTTGTTAAAGTGACGATAGGAAACTAACACAGATTTTGGTGCCTGGAAGTGGGGTGCTACTTTTACAAATACCTAAAAATGTGGCAGTGGCTTTGCAATTGAGCAGTGGGTAGAGGCTGGAAGAATTTTGAGGAATATGACATAAAAAGCCTAGATAACCTCAAATAGACTGTTAATAGAAATATGAATGTTAAAGATTCCTCTGGTGAGAGTTCAGAAGGAAGTAAGAAGCATGGTGGAGAAAATCTGTATTGTCTTTGAGAATACCTAAATTGTCATAAACAGAATGTTAGTAGAAATATGAACTGCAAAGGTGCTATTGGTGAGGGTTCAAAAGGAAATGAGAACAGTAGATACAATTTATATCATTTTAGAGAATATATAAAACCATCATAAACAGAATGTTGGTAGAAATATGAATGTTAAAGCCACCTATGATAAGGACTCAGAAGAAAATGAGGAACATGTTATTGAAAACTGCAGGAAAGGGATACTTGTTATAGAGTGGCAGAAAGACTAGCAGAATTATGTTCTCATTATGTGGAAAGCAGAATTTGTAAGTGGTGAACTTGAATATTTAGTTGAGGAGATTTTCAAACAAAGTGTTGAAGGTGTGCCCTAATTTCTTCTCACTGCCTTTAATAAAATGTAGAAGGAAGGAGATAAATTGAATGAAGAATTTTTAAGCAAAAAGAAGGTATGACTTGATGATTTTGGAAATTCTCAGCCTATCCAGCTTTCAAAAGATGCTACAACTTGGAGACTCACTGTCAGGGAAGCGTACTTTGGAAACAAAGCCAAGGGTGTGCCTGGACAACCTTTGCCTAGTCCTAAGAATGATCAAAAGGACAGAGTTTCAATCACATAGAGGGCTCTTTGAAGTGATTAGATGTGTGAGTCATGAATACCTTCATCCATCTCAGTAGAAGCCAAGAATAGAGATGTGATTCTTCAGGAAAGATTGGTAGAGGAGCCGCTTGTCTAATGAAGTAAATCCCTATGACATACACAGGAAACCCACAAGGTTTTTCAGAATGTTGTATCAGCAGAAATATTGCCAGCTTGCACTGAAAGGACAGTGAAAGAACAAAATGAAACAAGGCTGTAGGACTCCCAAAATCCTATAGGTAGGAAATGGGCTTATAAAACTAATAAATTGCAAATGTTTGCTGTCCTTTATGAAATAGGAAGGATAACTCAGAGGGCATAGCTGAGGACCCAGAGGACAGAGCTAAGAG